GGTCGCCCTCGGCCGCATCCCCGGGCCGGTGCTTCGTCGCGGCGGCGGGAAGCGGCAAGGATCCCTTTGGAAACCGGCCCCAGGCTGCGGCCCGCCCGCCTTCCAGCCTTTCCTATCACTCCCGAGCCCAAACCCTCCTCAGGTGTCACCCCTCAGAGACCCGCGCGGCCCTGCCCGGCTTTTTTCAACCCGTAAAACCCTTGGTTTTAACCCCGGGCGTGGAGCGGCTGCTCCGTTACAGCGCCCGTGAACGGCAGGGGGAGAAAGCAGCTGAGGAACGCCGGCAGCGTTTCCAGAAATAGGAGGGGCGGACAGGAATGTGCCTTTTAGTCGAATTTCTTGACGTTTAGGTGTTTGAGATCGTCCTATAGGCAACAGAAGCAGCTAGAGGTCAGGACTGACCTATTTTAAAACTAGTTAGGGCTAACGCTTTCTAAAACAAGCCTTGCTTTTTAAAGATGAATTGCTCGGTGCTGCATAACATCGGGCCTTGGGTGGCTTTGCCGGTTAGCCACAGGCCCCGGCAGCGTGCCTCGCCTCCTCCCATACACCCGTTTCAGGTTGCTGAGCCCTGTGGCAGGAGTTTATGGACCCTCTTTCCATCTCCAGTACCCGTTGCAGGCAGCAGAAGGCACTAGATGGCACTGCACTTCACGCTAACGGGCTTGCAGGCTCCCAGCTGGCAGTTACACGAAGACACGATGATGGGGAGAGCTGACACAGGACCATCGGGTGCTCCGTGCACCGATCTGTCTGTCTGTCAGTGGAAAACTGGGGGAGCTGAGCACCAGGACAGCCATACGGGAGAAACAAGTGGGCTCTGTAAGTTGCCTGGTTTTAAAAGCTGCCTTTGGGGAAGGCTTTATACAACGGTTTTCCATAATCTCTCAATCTACAACCCCTAAACTTTTCCTAATGGCACAACAGACCCTAGAGTCTCTTGGCAATAGTCTGGCTTCTGCTAGTTACCTTTTTCAGGCTCTTTAGAGCCATATTCTTCTCCCCAGTTGTGCAGGCCACATGCTGAAAGTCACAATTGCACCAGGAGGCCCAACCCTAATCCTGCAAGTCTGATGCGATGAATGAAATTGATCTTTGAAGAGCTGCAGTTACTAGGCCCTTGGCAACAAACCAGCAGATTCCTCCGTGAGGAATGCAGTACCGTACAGAAAACAGGAGGACGCGTAGAAAGCGATACTGGCTCATGAAGACCAGCAAAGGACTACATATTCTGACATAAAAGACAAGTTACACACAAACTGCAGTGAGTGTAGGAACAAGTGAGTTGTAAGACTGTTCCCCACCCACTTCATGTCTAGCTGCTCCCATCTGTCTCAGCGCTGTGCTAATGTATCCGCCACAGCACTACCTAAGCACCAAATACAACATTAAATAGTTCATCATCATAAATCACAGCCCCGCTAAGCAGGAGAGCTTCTGGATAATGTGAGATTGCGGCTCTTAGGCTTGTGTAGCCGGTAGAGGAGGAGGGTGTCCGATGCGTGGGTGGCCGGGTCGCGGGGGCCATACCCTGGCCTTGCTGGGAGGGTGTACCCCGCATCATCTCGAGGGAGGTGCAGGCTTTTCCATTTGTCTCCGAGGGGCTCAAGTGAATTTGATCAACCCTAAAGCTGCCTCGAAATCTCATCAGCTTTTCCTTCTGCCCCTACCGTAATACAAGAACAAGGACAATTTGGTAAAGAGACTAGCAAATCGGTGTGTAACTGAAGAGGAAAAACTCCACATGAGCAGAATTCCCTACTCCGGGGCATCAGGGCTTTTTTTTTTTTTACAAGTTGGCTCATAGGAGAACAAGTTTTCTTGTGATGAATAGTTTGATACCTGGACACCTCTGAGATGAGACTTGGAAACACCCTGAGAAATCTCAGCCTTCTGCCTCAAGGCACAGACCCGATTGCCGCAGGGACTAGGGAGGAATCTGTCCTTCAGGGGAATGTGTCAGTTTTCCTTGGAATCATAGAATCATTAAGGTTGGAAAAAGACCTCTAAGATCATCGAGTCCAACCATCGACCCAACACCACCATG